TCGGGGTGCCCTGGGATTGGTACCCAGGCCATGGGTCAGGGATGTCCTGGGGCTGGTGCCCAGACCACAAGTCAGGGATGCTCCGGATTGTCCAGGGATGGGAGTCAGAGATCCGAGGTCAGGGATGCTCTGGAGTTGGTACCCAGGGCTAGGGACCTGGGCTGGGGTCAGGGACACTCTGGGGCTGGTGCCAGGGATGGGGATGCTCTAGGCATGCTCTAGGATGGCATTCAGGGATGGGAATAAAGGCTAGTGGTCAGGGATGCCCTGGGTGCCAGGGATGGGGATGCTCTAGGCATGCTCTAGGATGGCATTCAGGGATGGGAATAAAGGCTAGTGGTCAGGGATGCCCTGGGGCGGGTGCCAGGCAGGGCGCACGGGAGCAGCAGGTCCCAGTGCCGCTGCCACGGGCCGGGTCCCCGCGTGCCCCCCAGGCGCGAGGGGCGGCGGTGCCCACCGCAGGGCCCCCAGCGTGCCCGCGCTGTCCGTGTTGCTCAGCTGCCGCCGCTTCTTCTTCCAGGAGGCCACGAGCTGGTCCGACTGCGAGACGCTGTTGAACCGCAGCTTGTAGCTCCTGCCGGGACACGGGTGTGAGGCGCCGGCGCTGCCGCGGGGCCCGCTGCGCTGGGGGTCCCCATGGTGCCGCCGCGGGGCCCGCTGCGCTGGGGTTCCCCATGGTGCCGCCGCGGGGCCCGCTGCGCTGGGGGTCCCCATGGTGCCTCCGCGGGGCCCGCTGCGCTGGGGGTCCCCATGGTGCCGCCGCGGGGCCCGCTGCGCTGGGGGTCCCCATGGTGCCGCCGTGGGGCCCGCTGCGCTGGGGGTCCCCATGGTGCCGCCGCGGGGCCCGCTGTGCCAGGGCTCCCCACGGCACCACTGTGGGTCCCACTGCACCGGGGCTCCCCATGGCGCCAGCCATGGGTCCCGCTGTGCCAGGGTCTCCCCATGGCGCTGGCACCTACTTGGGCGGCTCAGCCTGGGCGGCACCGGCGTGGGGCGACGACATCTCCATGAGCGCCTTGGAGAAGCTCTGTGGGGGCCGTGCGTCAGGGTGAGGGTGGGGCGGCCCATGGGCCCCACGTCCCCCGTGTCCCCCGTGTCCCCACACAGCCCCACGCGGCCCCTCACCTCGCCGCACTCCGGCGGGTCCCCGTTGCCAAAGGTGCTGGTCACCACCAGCACCAGCGTCTCGTGCTCCAGGGACACGATGTCGTACTCGTCCATGCACAGCACCTGCGGGCGCACGTGTGGGTGCCGGCGGCGGCGCCCCACGGCGCGGCGCCCCACGGCACCCAGCACGCGCCCACCTTGGGGTCGAAGGCGCGGCGGAAGAGCTGGCAGAGGCTCCACGCGTAGGTGCGCGACTTGCCCGTCTCGGTGGCGTAGAGGATGGTGACCTTGACGCGCCGCGCCATCACGTGCCCCATGAGCTTGGCCGAGATCTTCACCGCGCTGCAGAGCCCGGCGCGTCACCGGCGCGCCACCGGCACCGCGATTGTCCCCACGGGCGCCCGCGCCAGCAGGGAGGACACCTACTTGGCCACCTCCTTGAAGGTCTTCCTCCTGGTGACGGTGGTGCCCTTGGACACATAGACCTTCCATGCGTCGGGCTGCAAGGCAGGGCTGGTCAGGGGGCTCTGGGGGTACCAGGGGGCTGGGGGGCCGGGCGCGGGGCCCACCTGGTAGCGGAAGGTGGGGCAGAGCTGGTAGTTGACCATCTCCTGGTGGAAGACGGGCGTGAGGCTGCCCGAGATGGGCGGCACGATCCAGACCCAGTCGGCCGGGCAGCCGCCCCGCGTCCGCATCTCGTTCTCCATGTGTTTCACAAAGGACTCGGTGGCCGCATGGTGGTCCACGATGGTCACCTTGGCCACCTGCGGGGACACGTGGCTCCGTCCCGTGCTCTGCTTGGAGGACGCGCTGGCGCCCACCTTGTGCCCAAATGGGGCTCCCAGGTGCCATCGTCCCCAAGGGCACAGCCTGGCTGGGAGCCCTTGGGA